GAAAGTTCGATTTGTATTCTCAATGTGCCGAATATTGCGACACAGTGAAAGAATCATCACAGAATATACAAATGTCGACGAAATGTTCAGAATATTCTATGAATATTCTTTGTATATATCACGAAAATCGCGAGCGAGCGAGCGAGCAGTACACATTTCCGCCGACAGAGGGCCGCGGCGGGGAGCATTTACTCGTTAACAAGAATCATCTGGGAGAGAATATTAGGAGCGCAGCATTTAACCATAAAATTAGGTTCCAAGGTGAAAGTGTGAAGTGTGTTTTTCAAAGCAAAATTTTGTTTAAAAACTGATTCAAGAACAATCAGACCTGGAATTTCTGGAAATATTAAAATTTTGCGAAACACATATGGAATGTTCTCGGAATGTTTTTTGGGGATTTTAGGAATCTTATGAATATTTCAGGAATATTTTGCGTCAACTCTGTGTGTGTGTGTGTGTGTGTGTGTGTGTGTGTGTGTGTGTGTGTGTGTGTGTGTGTTTGCGTGCGCGTGTGTTTTTGTCATCGAGTTTGATAATTTGTTGCTTTTACCGAACGCACAAGAAAAAAAAAGAAAGAACTGACTTTCTTAAAATTCGAATAATACAATTACATAATAGTTTTAAAAATCAAAATTATCTTTCTTGATTATTTAATTTCCATATTGTCATTACAATCCTAAAATGATTTAATTCAGAAAAAAATTATTTCTTTATCTTTAGAAAATGTAGGTCTGTTTTTAAAATCTTGTTACTACAGTATAAAGATTAAGAAAGAGAAATGATGAGAATCAGTTAGCTGGCTGTTTTGTTTAGTTAAAAATTCTAACAAATCTCCTAGCATCTTTCTGCTGCTAATTACGAATGCATTACGTTATCATTTATGCGAGCGAGCATCTTAATATTGTCATTCGATCCAAAGTCACATTTTATAATGTCATACTCCGTATTACATATTATTTACTCCGTATCTGTTATCGTTAACAATAGATATTACGAAATTTTTAAATCATTGTTGCGTTGTTAATTATAGAGAAGAAATGAGATTCGGAGATGATTGAGTCGAATATTATATATATATATATATGTATACGTCTGCGTCGATTCGTTCCGCGAACGTTTGAATTATAAGATGATTGTTTTAATTTTATAGGCGGGCATTCTTGTCTCGCCATGAACTTGAAGCACGGGCGTGAGCACAGAGCAGTCGCAGTCGCAGTCATTGACTTTGAAAATATCTGTGGAGAACGGTCAGTGGCGTAGGCGCCACACGGGAGACTTTAACGGGTGATCAAACGAGGCGCGGAGGATCGATCACATCAGGAGAACCCATACAACTTGTTTTTCTTTTTATAACTCGCCCTCCCGAGAAAACGTAAAAGTACACTGCATGGATAAGTCAAGGAATTGTCTTCCGGAAACCGTATTTCAGTTTGCATTAATTATAGTCTGAGTATGACCTGTATGACAGCAATCAATATTAGTATTAATATGTATCGATATCGCAGTGATTAATCGCGTTTTAATTAATTAATGGTGTATCGATACGCGGTTAATAGAAAATTGTTAAAAAGAGATAAAGATGACGTTTGTTCTGAGGAATGCGAATATTGTTATCAGTGTTAACGTGTGTACAGGGTGTCTCACTTGCCATAGATTCTTTCAGCAATTCGGGATCGATTTACCTTTGCGTTTTGCGAGAAAATCGAGGAAGCCAATTCCAGTTTATAGCTTTTACAATTGTTATGGTCATATGTATATCCTTACGGTCAAATTTCAAATTAAAATGTTATTAAAGCGAACTTCAGAACAAAAATTAAATAGAGTAAAAGATATGTTTCGAAAACGTAATCTATTTGATAATTCATAGTTAGCGTAATTTGCGAAAAGACTTTTTCGGTCACTTATCATTCGTCTTTCGATCGTCTTGAGATGTTTTCTACTTACGAAGAAACGATCACTTTAGATCCTGTCAGAGAATCGATTATTAAAAAATAACTCGTGACACATAAAGAATAAATTGAGACACTCTGTATAGATAAGCGAACAGTCAAGTGAGCCCGTAATTATAGTTTTATCTCTCTCTCTCTCTCTCTCTCTCTCACTCACTCTCGTCGTCATACTTATCTCTACTATCGTAATACCTATCGCTTGCGACATTCGCACGCGTACATGTATCGAAGCAATTCGTCGCACTTAACTTTTTTTTTTATTAAAGCGACCGTCTCTGCAATAAGATGCATTCGATTCACGCGACAATAATCGTGGAAAGCGTGAAGCACTATTATGCGGCATTTAGATTTAAAATTAAAAAGGACAAAACTCGAGAACTTTTGATTTACCGGTAAATACGGTGCGGTATTAAATAAAGTTTGTTTTCGCACATTTAAATGAAGGTTTACAAAATCAGCCTGGAAAAATAATTTTATTAATAATTGCAACGATAGTACCTGGCCACGCTAATCGGTTCTCGTGAGTACGAATTGAAACTTATTTTAGAAAAGCTCTCATCGCCGTTATTTCTTCCGAGAACGACTTCCATTCGAGGAATAATTCAACATTCGAGCAAGTTCTTTGAGGAGTTACAATTACATTTCTTGAAAAACGAACTATCGAGAGAAATAAGCTATCAGAAACGTTTGAAACTTAAATTGTCATTTTTCCTAAGTAACATGCAAGTTGTTGAGCTTTTCTAAACTGATTATCGTTACGATCGCGCGTATTCATTCCCGAAACGATCAAGCAACCAAATGCTCCTCCATTCCGCTTCGTTCATCTGAAATATGCGCATCCGCCCTGTTCGGTGGACTGTAGGAATAATAAGCTCGGTCCCGATTCTCGAGATTGCAATCGGAGTATTCAGAGCAATGACAGAGGGCACGAAGGAGCACGTTATCCTGCATGAATCGCCAACTTGCTACCATCACGTACATACCTGTTGCGAGTAACGAGAAACACGACGAGAGCGGCTATATGTCGGCGGCACGCTCCATTAAGAGACACTACACTGGCACTAGACTTCCGATGAGGGGCTCGATTTTCATATCCACTCTCTTTGAAGATCAGCACGATGAGCACGGTCAAGCGAGTGAATAAATAAATAAATAAATAAATAAACGAACGGACGGACGGACGGATGGAAGAATGGACAGATGGACTCGAGATGGAGATGCGTTCGTGTAATGATGGAGACTAAACGTAAGCGAGCACAAGATAATCGAGGTGAGATCGCAGGAGCGAACACAACCGGTTGCGACCTGGAGAGTCGCGCGGTAGACACGAAGAGTGATCGTCGTCGTCGTCGTCGTCGTCGTTGTTCCGGAGGATGGAACCACGGTGAACCGGCACATTAACACGTCCGCTCGGCTTCGGAGTTCGGTTCGGCTGGGATCGGGTGTGCCAGTCTGCAGTGCCAAGTGCCCAAGTGCCAGGTGGAAGCTGGCTAAGCGCGAAGGTGGTGGTAAGGTCTTACACGCTTCGGACCGCTTCGGGCCGCTTCCCCTGTCCCCACCGCGCTCGCACACTCGCTGCGGCGCGGCGGGGGCGAGGGCGAGGGGATGGTACTTTGATACCACGTCCAACCACTGTACACAACCAACTGTGACGGACCGACTGGTGGTCGTCAGCGTTCGCCAAGTCGAATCGCTTCCTGCAGTCAGGTAACAGATTAGCTATCTCGCCGTTCACCTGGCATATGTATACCCCGTGTATGCGATCTCGTCTCTAATATAGAATCGGCACTATCGGCTGCGACCTGTCTTGTCGACGACTTGCATGCGAACAAAAGAAACTGATAATATTTCATTTTAACATATCCTAATGTCCCGCACGCCTGTCGTTTAATATATATTATAATTCGATCTCTTTCTCTCTCTCTCTCTCTCTCTCTCTCTCTCTGTGCGCGCGCGCGTGTATGTGTGTGTGTGAAGAAAACTGCGCAAACTTGATCCTATTCATTTTCATCGAAAAAAAATCCACAAGATTGCACAACTGTTTTACATTGAAAATATATTTCCATTTTGTATCAATTCGACGTGTGAGTAGAATACATACACGTGACTTAATCGCTTTTTACATTTTTCGCAGTTTATATGTACCTATATACTGTGTTTCGGTAGTGAATTGCAATCGTCGCAGCGTACAGTTTAACATTTATCCGTCTGTTTCTTTACACATGCCAACTACGAATTTCATAGAGTTTCAAGCCGTCCATAGTCGACATAAATAATATACACAGTTACTTGGTCGTGCAACACGTGTGGCGTAATTTTTATATAATAAGAAGCACGTTCATATATTATTTAGGTAATATAAACATATACATACTTTTTAGCAAAACATATAAAAATGCGATAATACTTGTTATAGTGTTCTCTAATCGAGCTTATACTTGTATTTGTATTCAATATAGATAGTTTACTTGGACCGTACGTACGAATTGTATTCGCACGTCTGGCTATTCAAAATGCAAGATTTATCCTGCGAATAAATCTAAATACATTTTGATAACAAGGATGATTTCTTCCATAGTGATCGTCTTTCTTGCAAAATTGCGATGGAGAAATCACGCGACGATGGTGATACTGATGAAATAATTAACGTATATACGAATGTTTAGGTACAAGATATGCATTTTATGTATGTATGTATGTATATACATTTATCATACGAGGATGAACTGATTAAATTGCATGCAGTATACATTGCCTGGCGTATATGTGAAATGATCTAGCTCTTTGCTACTATATCTTACCTATCTACGAATTTTCAGATTTTTCAACACATAAAGTTCGAAGGAAGCTCATCATTGACCGTTTTTCACAAATGTTGATAAAATTTTTATCAGCCAGCAAGGTACACGACAGAGCAATATCTATAAAGTAATATTTTTCTTTTTCTTTGCATTCAAGGAAATAAATTATGTATGTGTGTGTATATATATATATATATATATACACACATATTATTTCTAGAACAGAATATTTGTAGGAAATTGTGTCAAGGGCGAATTAACTCTTTGCATAGCTTGTATCTATCTATTGTACTTGAAGAGACTTGAATGCGAGTCAAGAAGTAACTAGTATTATTAACTGCACTAGTGGATACTCTGTCTGCTTCGCGTTTTCTCACAATACGATACAATAACATTAAACAATCTTGTATGAATTATATAATAAATAAGATTAGGACTTGGTACAAGATGCATTGCTACTTCTCTGAGTCGATTCAAAGATAGTATAAGTAGTTTAAGATTTTTATGTTTAAATTGCTAGTAGTTTTTTTAAATAATGTATAAGGATGTAAAATATGTAGAAAATGAATTGGAAATTCTTAAAAGATTTTCTCCCTCTCTACTCTTATATCAGATAAAACACATTAATACTTAAATAGTTTCGATGCTTACATCACTGGTCGGTTGTCAATCAGTACTTTCTTGATTATTTTTTAAATCAAAAATTTATTTAAACAACGTAAAGATATTTTTAAGATTCTGATAGTAACAAAATGTATAATATATACGACGATTATGATGTATATGTATAAAGTTGCAAAACGATCTTGAGATATGGGCCCCTCGATTCGCAATGTGTAACATACGTGTAATCTTGCAAATTTTGAAAAAAAAATCGGTGATTGCATAAAGAGTTTTATTCGAATATTTAACGAAAAGATTTTATCTCGAAACCATCTTCGATTAACATGTAAATATGTTATATAAAAAAAATTCAATATTATACATATATATATATATACTCTCGGAAAGATATTTTAATACTGTTAATTACATCTGTGTTGTGTTGTGTTGCGTCGTGATTACCACAATGTCGTCATCCTGGTTTTTCAAAGGGAGTCCATGTATCTTGCATATACATATATAATACTATTTACGTTTGTGTAATCACGTTGCGCAGTCGCGCAAGCGCTCTTCTGGAAGTAAATACTTTTCTACATCAATATACAACATCGGGTTTAAAGACAATGCCACTGAATTAACAGGTTTACGTCATATTCGTTATCTCTCCAATTATTTCCTGATTTCTCATACAGAAAATATGGATATGGATTAAGCAGACTCTAGCGTTATCACCGACAAACTGACAAATGATCGCTTCATACTCTATCAGTTTGTCGGTCCAACTCGGATTACGTAATCACCGATCACCGACTTCACAAACAGGCATAATTACATATATAATCACAAAAATAGGTTCCAGAGTATTCTTCCGAGTATGACGATATTTCTCAGTGATTTGATTCATATCACGTAATTTAAATTATCGACATACATACACGTAGAAATTCACTGAAAGAGCGCGGACACATCCCAAATCTTAATAACGCGATCTTGGCCGATAGTCAATAATCTTCGCCTAGGAGCATCTAAATCCATCCCGATGACACTATGCTTGGCATCATGGAAAGAGGCCAACGATGATTGGCTACATAAATCAAAAGCAAATATTGTATGTTTTGCTTAGTCTTCGCTATTAGTCTTAAGGGAGAATATGATGGGAGCTCATGACAACTTACTTTTCCGACTTGAGCTGTATGTGACATTGATCGCAAACTCTCACTTCGAACTCGAAGCCCATCGCCGGTATCGGTATTCGTTGCGATGTGCAGCGAGCGCATAACGCGCGACCGCAATAGCGACAGTGATGCTGCCTCAATCCCAACTGTCGTTGATCCATCATAGCTTTTATATTCCAGAAGAAGGGTCTTCCACAAGCCTGGATTACGTTGGAGCATCTTAGAGTAATGTTGTAAAGTGGAACATTGATATTGTATTTAAAGACTTTCTCTCGAAACACACCTGACAGACATCGGATTCGACCCAAGTGGCGGTTTCCTTCCTATTTGACGCCATATTCCAACAAACGATCACGCCGTCCTCGCCTCCGGACAAGAGCAAGCGTTCGACGCTTGCGTAGCATAATGCCGTTACTTTATTACTGAAAGAGAGAATTTTTTTTTTCAGAACATGTTTTGAAAGTAACTTAAGTAATATTTCCGACCAACCAAAATTTTTGAAAGAATTTTTCGCGTGCGCGCTTACTGGTGTCCCTGAAGTTCATAAGCGGTGCCTTGACGACCTCCAATGTCCCAAACAATGATGCTTTGATCAAAACTACCAGAAAACAACAATTGTTTCTCCGAGTCCCATGCCAACGTGTGGATACTTCCCGTGTGCGCCTTTAATGTAGTAATGAAGGTAACGCCATTATTGTCCAGCTTTAGCATGGCTATTTGACCAGAATAATCTCCTACGAAAGCGTGTTTGGATTGGGCGTCAAATCTGTAGACGCGCGAGTTAAGTTTCTCATAGATGAATACGTTCTACCAAAGTATCTTTCATTTGTACAAACGCGTAAGACTTTTTGCAAAAGGATACTGTAGAGCGGTGTACCACGCGTCTGTTTGGTACGATCCCAATTTTTGTCCTGTTTCGGAGCTGTGTAATTGAAATAATTTATCACGGCCTATACTCAAAACCCATTCAAAATCTGCTGCAAAAATGATTCCTGTGATTCTTGCTTGGTGCGCTAGATAATCGCGCATAGCTGTCATTCGATTGTAATCTTGCTCCAAGATAAATTCCTATAATTCAAAAGGCAAGTCAATATCTATAATCCCGGTCAAGTACAATTCTAATGATGGACAGAGTAAAAGGTGACATGACATACATTAATGCTTCCATTATCCAGGCCTACAAATAACTGCCTCGTTTCTACGCAATAGTGCATAGAGGTAGCACCTGCTGGCATGTATTGACAAATACTCGGCCAATAATGACCAGAATCTCGCTTCAGCCATACTCTAACTGTTCTGTAAAAAAAAGTCAAAGTAAAACAAGTGATTAAAGGTCACTCTTTTAAAAAAGTCATATCCTGCAATTGATATAACGATACATATATAAAAGAACTGTGTGTATGCGTTTAAGAATTAGAGAGAGAGCACTTGCCCAGATACCACACATACGCACACACGAATATATGTAGATGTGTATGTACATCAAAATTTTCTATATGTTGATACAATTTGATACAGTTCTGATTCTGTTTAATATATAAGAACGTAAACAGTACATACGTAACGTATAAAATAGAAAAATGGGTGTTTCAAGGTGTGTCCACGTAGTGAAAAAATTACGCGCAATTTTCACAACGAAAATAAAAAATTCTAAAGGTGGAAAATATAAATAAAGAGAGACAAGATAATAATACAAACATATGAGAGGGCGTGCGCTTAAGAAAAATATCGAAAATACGCAGTCTTGGAAAATATCTACGGATAGGTACCTGTCATCGCAAACACTGATTACACCCTCTTCCCGCGGGATAATGATAGCCGCATTAACGTCGTCGCTGCAGCCCTCCAATTTTGACAGGAGGACCGGCTTACGGCTGCTGCTGAATTTATCGTGATTTACTCCCGGGGCGGGCTTTATTTCCGCTGCCATTTCTTAATCGCGCGAACGTTATAACAAGTTCACAAGTGCAATTGCCATTTGACAGTTGTCAGATGCTGAGCACGATGCTCGCGGATCAGAGATAGGGACTCCAGCACATATCAGTAGAGACCACGATGTAAGAATACAAGGTGTACCATTGCTACCATTGCATATAAAGGTACATTTTCACGTGCTGCTAAAATAAGCAATTAGAGCGACAGATTTGTTGCTCGTTATCCAGCGGCTGAAATTTTGTAGTTTGAACAGTCTCAACTACAAGCGTCAAACGCTATTGACAGTGCTGATACAGTATAAATAAGAACAGTAGGTACACTCAGTTAAAAATAGTGGCGATCGTTCTGCACAATTCTGTACAATTTTCAACATGGCCGAGTAGGACATAAAGATCAAATGTGCCGACACAGAAGGCCTATTCTTTTTGGCTGAACTTTTGCACCAGTTCATCTTTCTTCCTCTTCTTTCCTCCCGGATAGTTCAGCCAAAAGTTCAGCAAAAAAAAAACAGGCCTAAAGTGTACCTACTGTTCTTACTTACCCCGGATCTACAATAGAGTTTTAAGCCTTGCCATAAGAAATGAGCAAATCACAGTCGCTTATTCTTCTTGAATTCGACTGTAATTGGTCAATTTCTTACGGCTTAAGGCGTCGTTTACAATACACGGAGTAAAAAGTAAGAGTAAGAAATTGACCAATCACAGTCGAATGTAAGAAGAATAATCGACTGTCATTGGTCTTCTTACTCTTACTTCGTGTATTGTAGACGACGCCTAAGGCTTAAAATACCTATTGTAGATCCGGGGTTATACTGTGGTGCTGACGTACTGTATCGACCGTGTTGACCACCGTTGACTGCGATATACATAACCTAATTTATTCTTTTTTTTTATTACTGATCCAGATAGAGGATTCGATGCAATCAGACTAATCTAATAACTGTTTAATTCAGCGTATTAATATCGCAAATGATACATGAAAAATATGAACAACGTATTGAACCTGTCGCTCAAATGTAAAATTTAATGTTTCTTGTCCTTTTTCATGTATAAAATCGTCGCTCTAATAGTTTCGCGACAAAAGTCGTCACGTGATCGTTTTTGTGGCTGAAATGGTTAGTTTGAGGGCCGGTTGTTCCACCTTTTGATAAATTTACCTGTTGGGTAAGTAGCAAGATTACCCAATCACATGCGCGGATTACCAGATTTACCTTACAGATAAAATTTACCAAAAGATGGAACAACCGGCCTATTGTAGATCCGGACTAAAGACTA